TAAGGTAGGTTTTAGCTACTAGTACCTTTTTAGTTAATAACTATTTTATTACGTAAGCTAAGGCTATAACAATTTAATAGCTATTAGATTATATATATATCTATCTAGGTTTAAAATTTTGAAAGAAAATATTAAGGTTTAGCTTTGTTAATAAGATAATACTCTTTGATTTTCCTTGCCAAGAAAAAGTGGCCGCTTCGGTGGTGTGGCTGCTTTGGTGGTGGAATACGTTATAACTAACGTTTAGCTATTAATCTATAGTAAAAGGTAGGTTTTACTTAAGATTTCTTCCTTTACTAATAACTACTAGATTACATAAGCTATAGCTATATAATTTTAATACCTATTAGATTATATATATATCTATCTAGGTTTAAAATTTTAAAAGAAAATATTAAGGTTCAGCTTTGTTATTAAGATAATACAGTTTGATTTTCCTTGCCAAGAAATTTTGGCGCGCTCGATGGTGGAATACGTTATATCTTAATAAGTTCTACTAATATTAGACTTATATAATAAAGCGTACTATAGCTTCTACTAAAGCTATTACTATTACTATGCATCTTATCTTCTTATTAGATAAGGTAAAGGGCTCTTTCTTCCTTATAATACTATTAGATATAATAGATAATATTATTAATAATCTAAGTACTTATAACCTTACTACTTTCTAGGATATTAAGCCTAAAATCTTTAATATATTTAAAAAGTACTTTCTTAATTTAGTTAACTCTTTAACTACTTATACTATACGCTAGACTACTACTTAGTCTACTAACTATCTCTTTACTAGTAGATAATATCCCTCCTTTATATAAGAATACTCCTAGTATTAGAAATATAACCTAACTTTTATTAGTTATATCTATACTAACTATAATAAGTTAAGGTAGTATAAGGACTATTAGTAGAAAAAGAGACTATTAATATAACTACTAAAGAGTAATAAATGTAGCAGAAATAAATAGTATAAAAGCTATAATACTAAGGTAACTCCTATTAATAATTCTAATAATAGTAGAACTAAAATTACTAGTTTTACTATTAGTATTATAGACCTAAGGATACCTCCTTCTACTCTAGTAAAGTTAAAGGGCTTAACTAACTAGAATAAAAAATAACTATATTAAAACGTAAGTATTACCTTCTTTACTATTAATCTAATAGTATCTAAACTACCTATTTAGCTATTTAATACTAGTACCTTATAGTATATATCTAGCTACCTAGATAATTTTATATCTATTACTTCTAGTAAAGGCACTATTATAGTAGCTAGTAGAATTAAACTACCTATCTAAGGTATTAGAATAATTTAGTTATGCTACTATCTACTTAATAGGTCTATATAACTAGCTAAACTAATAAAAGCACTCTATAGTAAAGAACTTTACTAAACCTACCTTTTCTTCTAAAGCTACGTATGCTTATAGGGCTTTAAACTTACTATATATGCTAATAATTTGTACCTTTTTAAAGATAGTAAATATCTACTTTAGGGGTAGTATTCTAATAGTATTATCTATATATAGACTAATAACCTACTAACTTTATTATTAATAGTAGACTAGCTAGCCCTTATAGCATCTTTAGATATAGAGAAACTATCTATAATTATTAATATAAGTACTATAACTAATATAAAACTACTAAGAGTAATTAGATTAGTAGATACCTTACCTTCTACTAGTTCTTTACTTATAGCTCTTTCTAGGAAGGCATCCTCTAAAGCCTTATTAACTATATCTAGCTTTATATTTTATAATAAGTTCTATTACGCTACAGGATACCTTAATATTAAATACCTAGAACGCCTCTATACTAATAGATAAATTATGCTAAAGAAACTAACTAACTTTTACTACCTTCCCTACTATATATCTAAGTTAGTACACTACTAACTAGTAGTAGACTTAGTAGAAAAGTAATAAACTAAACTACTTAAAGTTATCTATTCTAACCTATCTAGCTACTTCTCTTACAAGTTACTTAGTAGTACTAGATACTATATAATATTTATTAATAACACTATACGTTATATATAGGTAAAATTCCTTAAGCTTAAGTTAGATACTACCTAAGCTATTATAGATTTTATTATATTTGCTACTACTTAGTTTAATATATCTATTAAATGTTTTAAGTCTAATAATAGAGGTAAGTATATAGCCTCTACTATATAATAGTTCTTTTAGTAGAAGGGTATTATCTATAATACTATACTACTATACTTATATAAACTTAATAGTATACCTAAATATTTTAACTAGTCTATTACTTAAATAGCCTAGTCTATAATTATATCTAATAATCTACTACCTCTTTAGGTAGAAGCTATATATATAGCTACCTTCCTAAAGAATATAGTACTATATATATTAGACACTTTCTACTATATACTATATAAGCAACTATTTAGTAAGAAACCTACTATTAAATACCTCTACCTCTTTAAGATTACTACCTACATCTATATTCTAGTTAAGGCTTAATAAGCTACTACTAAACTACTCTACTAAGCTAAAACTAGTATCTTTGTAAGCTATAGCTAAAATATAAAGACTACCTAAGTCTATATTCCTAACTAATATATTATTTTTAAAACCTAGAATATTATCTTTAGCCTATTTAAGACTACCTTATACTTCTAAGAATTGCTAGAACCTACTAATATAGAGACTACTAGTAGTATAGATACTTAACCTTCTAAAGTATCTATAAACTACTATACTAAGTTTAATCTAGTAGATTTAGGGGACCTACTTATACTTATGGACTTTAATATAAATATACTACTATTAGTAATATACTATAGTAACTACTATACTAGCGCTATATTCCTACTACTAGTAACTAAACTAGTAGAACTATAACTACCTTCTACTAGTTCTTTATTAAGTAGTTAACTACTACCTCTATAATAAAGTAACTATATTAGTAGACTATTATAACCCCTATCCTTTATAACTATATTATATAAAGGATTAACTATATCTAAGACTATAATACGTTTTAGTTACGTTATTAAACCTATGTAATGTATAAAAGATACTACTATAAATAAATAAAGTAAAGCTATATCTATACTAATAAATCTCTTACTACTTTAAGGATACTTAGTAAATGTTTCTATGTATATAGCTACTATTAATAATAATAATAATATACTATAATCTTTTAAAGAAGCCTAGAATAATCTACTCTAGAACTCTACTATTCTTAGGGAGATAAACGCCTATAAGAAGAATAGAACTTAAGAACTTATTAATACTAAAGACTTACTATTTAATATTAAATTTATTAGTATATAATAGGTCTTTACAGCTAAGAAAAATAAGTTAGGCAAGATTATAAAGTAAAAAGTATAAATTATTACCTAAGAATTCTCTTAATAACTAGGCCTTAACTTTAATAAGACCTACTTACTAGTTATATAATATAATAGCCTATAAATTATTCTTATAATTATACTTATTTATAGCTAGATACTCTAGTAAATTAACTTTAATACTATATACCTAAATACTAACCTTAAGTACGTCCTATATAGATGCTATCTACTAGGCCTACCTAATACTAGTAGAAAGTTTCTAAGGTTCTTATATTTACTTTATAGTCTTAAGTAGTCTAGATATAAATAGTATAAAGTCCTTACTAACTAGCTTCTATTTATTAGCTTTACCTAAGTAAGCTTTAACCTATATACCTTTATATCTAAGTACCTTATCCTTAGGATTTATGTTAATAATATTCTTATAGCTAGTATACTAGAAGCTATACCTACCTTCCTTAAGAAAGCTAGTAAATATTTTAAGATTAAAGACCTTAGTTAACCTAGGCTACTACTAAGCTTAAAGATTAACTATATTAATAATAGGATTTAACTTTACTAGCGCATATACGCAGTTAATCTTATATAGATATAACTATACTAATCTATTATTAGTTTACTTAACTTCTTTATTATTATAAGCTAACTAGACCTATTATATATTACTAGCTTTCTAGGGATATATAACTCTAATCTATCTAAAGAGTACTTAAAGCTAGCCTACTAAGTACTATAATTTATCTAATAGATATATAATTATAAGATTAAGGTAACTACTCTGCTAACTTAATTACTACTAGTAGTTTCTATTACTATATACTTAGACACCTTATTTACTTCTAATCTAGATAATACAAAGTTATTTAGTAGGTATATCCTTAAGATCTTTAGCTCTACTATTTTATAGTTATTTAAGTAATAGAGTTATATTACTTAAAGTATTTATAAAGTAGAATATATAGTAGCATCTTATACTACTAGCTATCTAGTCTAGACTTAATAAGCTTTCTTAAAGCTATTACTATCTACTAACCTTAGCTATTTATTACTAGTTAATAATAAGCTAGCATTATTACTTATTTGCGACTATAGACTTAATTAATAATTAAAGCATATTAACGTTTACTACTACTTTATGCAAGAGTAATACTTAGATAATAAATATAATATTTAATACATCTCCTTTACTAATAACCTTACTAATATTAGAACTAAGGCTCTGCTACGTCTAACGCTTAAATTGCTTACTAATTGTATCTTTAATAATAACTAGTAGCTATACTTTTGACACTATCTACCCACTGTTACTATTAGCAACTAGCAGAATTAAGAAGCTTAATTAGCCCCTTCAAGGAAGCCATCCTTAAACCAGCCATTGTTGTTTGTTGTTGTTTAGCCAACTCGCGTAGTTGCCTAATGCTCTTGCCTCATCTGCTAAACCACCTGATCCCTGGCGGTTTCCTCACCTATCATCTATCAGTTGCATTATTAACCTTTCAACATTTTCACCTCTATATATACTCTATTAAGGCTTCAATTCTCATCAAATTATAAAGCCTTAGTGGTGTAGCGGTATCACGCCAGCCTTCACACGCTAGAGACCCAAGTTCGATACTCAGCTAGGGCAGGTGCCCTGACGGCCTAGGTTCAACCCCTAGTCCTAGCTCTTCTTCTTTTTTGCCCATCTCATCCATCCACCACTGCATAGCTATTCAGGGGACTGTATCTCACCACCGCATGGTCATTGAGGGGACTGTTAGGGGAAGCGCAGCTTCCCGCCAGAGGCAATCACCCATAGCAGTTGTTTACACCCAAATAGGGCTAGCGTAGATCTATATAGGCAGCCTTCGGCTACAGCTAAAATCGATAACTCTTACATCACATTCTCTTTTAACAGCATGAACGATACAGAGCAGTGGAAGCACTGATCTGAGAGCAAAGGAGTTAATCAGCACCTCATTAAGCAATAGGGAGCACCATAATAAGTCCTCAACCCTACTTACTGCAGAGACCTCAAACTCAATCATGCATATAGACTATTTCCACAGCGGATAGACGGGAACCAGTGTCTCGCAGAAAGATAAACTCAGGAAGTAAGCTAGGAAGTCTCAAGTCCCCTCTAAAGCCCAGCAATTAGGCGGGGTATGAGGGACTGAATCACCCGTGGATGAGTTTGCGGAGTATGATTGTTGGCTTAATTCTCAAGATTTTTGATATCGCGAGGGCGACTTCACCGAGGAAGTGCAGGCAACATCGAGGGATCCGCTTCCTGCTACACAGGCACAGGAGGAAGACGATGCGATTCCAACGGAAAAGTAATCAAGGAGAGCTTCTAAAGAGGATTTGTTGCAGTGACGCCCGTTAGGATTCATAAAAGTGTTGAGAGCACTGCGCAAAGATATCGTCGATTATCATAAGAAAACTTCCATCAGTCTCTGGGTCGATACGCCCACGGCCCCATTCGAAGTAATTTTTGGGAAAACACAGATACAGTACTTCATCCGCCTCGCAAAAGAGCGTGGTATCAAGTTCGATCGGGTACCCTTCCGTGAATCCATAGGGCTGAAGTAGAATGACAAGTGGACCCAAGCTCCTGTGGTGCTTCTTGAGAGGCGCAAAGAAACTCTAACCGGACATCATGTGCCATACCGACTAATCGTTGGAATCTACCAGATGAGAGAGCTTGAACGACTGATTACTCGTCCAACAAGAAAATACCGAGACAGCCCCCACCGTTCCCCATACAGCCTCGCTGTGTAAGAGGGACTCGTGGACGCAGTCAGCTCTATGGCTTATGGTTCCGTTCGCAAGCCAGGCCTGCTCTCGACGAACAAGTATTACTTAGATTCTGGCACTCCGCACGCCACCCACGCTGACAAGATTAACGCCGACCACGAAGCATTCTGGGCGCCACTCGTCAACGCCCCATGGACACAGAAGTGCAAGCTCGGCGCCTTTCTGACAAAAATCCCACTGTGTCCAAGGTGCTGGTTAAGCAGAAAGTGGATTCCTGTTTAGCGGGACCAGAGGCTAAGCTTGACTTCCGTATTCCCCGTACCTCTAATCCACGCTTGGGGATATCATGCTGTACCTCCCTGCCGAATGGGAGGATCTTCGTGATAAAGCATTGATATCACCAACTACCCTGTTACTATCATATGTTTCCTTGATTTACGCATGTTCCTAGAGAGCCTACCATCACGATCGCGTTGCTATCCTCCGCCTGCGAACTCCTCTTACAAGCCCACGAAGGCGCGATCCTCAGTTTCGTTACACTGTTACTTCAACGCGTACGACTCCGACAACTCTATGAGCCCAAGGGCCCTAACCAATGGCGAAAACGCTCCACCACGCGCTCTTCTGGTGAACTCCTATGCGCCCTCAGAAACTCGCAAATCGGTTCTACAACTTCGCATTCATCTTCTGCTACCCAGGCCTCCATACAATCGAATGAAACTACGGTCCCATCGAACGGTGAAGTGTACTCTTTGATATCTGGCTGCACGGGCGGTGCTTTCTGGCCGTCTTTTGAAGGTGTTACCGATGTTGGATGTGGCATCTGTGTGGCTTCAGTGAGATAGTGATATGCAATCTCCCCATCTCCATTGTCCTCTTCTTGTTGTGATTCTTCATGATCGCTCTCGCCATTCATCTTGCTGTTCTCCGAGTTGATTGATGTTCCAGACGCGGGGGGGAATGAAACCCGATCACTCTTCAGTTGCTTCTCGGCGGATGTTGTGCTTATTCCCGGCGCACTTTCTCTGAGCCGCAACTGTTCTGATATCATTGGAAGCTCAATCTCAAGATCGGCCATGACGAGAGTCCTGTATCTATACCGCGGTCAGGTTTCTTAGGTCAAACTGCGAGACGAGAGAAAGGGCCGTTCGCTGATATAGAATCAGACTTTATTGTGGTTTGGATAACACACTAGGAACAACAGTTTTCCACAGCGGTGAGGATCTGCTGGCTAGATCCGCAAGCGAGTTCCAACGGCGCAGCAAGTTAACGCTGATTTCAACATGTGGTTGGCAGGATATTCACGCACGGGAATACAACCCCCCTCCATGAACGGGCGAGCCCGCGGTTTGGTGGGGCGAGGCCTGTGCGTAGAAGGTGCGAGAATTCGATACCTTGTTTTATAAGCGTTTTGCTAGCTACTAGAGGTACCAAGTTCTACATGCTGGGCAGTAATTCAGGCTGTCGGTGGGCATACAAAGTGGTAATAGAATGTAATTTTGTATATAATTTATATAGAAAATGGCATAGCGTGAGCACTCGGTGGCGTTCGGCAAAACCATCGGGCTCGCCCGTTCATGATCCCCCCTTGTAGTAGCCGACCCATAGCGCCGGAAATTACAGGCTTGCAGTGCCTTGCTAGCACCGATCAAGGATCTAACATCACGGGTCTATCCGAACACCCGAAGCCATCTGCGAATGGTTGTCATGTGTGTTCTTGCCGTCTAGGCGATGTTTCGGAAGACCGAGGCACTCTCCGACTAAACAATCGATAGAGGCCACGAAATGTTGAAGCGCCCTTGTGAAGGCGAGGTTGTTGAGTGATTGGAAGAGCTAATCAATGGCATGCAACATAACGCCGAAGAACAAACGCACAACAACTGCCGTCATGGCCAACTTTCCGCCTAAACTCTTTTAAGCACGCTTCCAAGGTTGAATGCAAATGTTGTAACAGTAGTATGGAGTCTATCGACAACCAAGTTGCTCTACGCGGGCCGATCCGAATCCAGCCTACCACAGGTGGTAAAAGGCACGTGCTCCGAAGTACCTAAACCATGTGTGTGGGTGCAATTACGTGGCGTCCAGAAAAGGCGCTATAGAACAAGTAGAACTAAACCGATCACGTGCTCGACGAGATCACACATGTGCATGCGGTTTACGCCAATCAGCCTACTTGTGGCGAAACAAACTGCCGAGCACGTGACCGATTTAATTCTAAAGTCACCAAGTATTGTACGCTTGTCGGTCACCATGTAGAACGGCGCGGGGTATATCTACCATAGGTACCATGTAGATGCCAAGGCGCCATCCGAAATGAACCGATCGTGATAACCAACGCTATCAATGCCTCCGATACGCCAACAACTTCAGCTGTGAACGCACGCAAACGATATACCTTTAAACCTCGTTCCCAAGCTACCGATCTTGTGTCATAGGAGTATGCCCATGGGACTCTGACGACGACGACGATCCCTTGCCGTCTCGACCAGCCATCGGGCGAAGAAACGCCAGGTTGTTGACCTTTGTAACGACGAGGATGTTGAAACTATGTCATGACACCTAAGAGGACTACGACGCCGAAAGTCAGACAACGAGCTGTATTCTTTTCCACGACGACCAGCTGCCAGCCGGGGAAAACGCCGGGCTATTAAACTCAGTGGCAGCGAGTATGCTCATACATTCCCACTTCAATCTGCTTCCCCAACAAAAAACGACGAGCTTGGGGCAACCATATGGACACAAATAGGGTATAAACGATGAAGGAGGAGGTAGGAATGGATAGGGAGGACAGGCCGGCCATATCGGCTTCATTCCGCACTGATCCAAAAGGACGCGCTCGCACATAAGGAGATGACACACAGACTCTTGACCGCTGGAGACGCAGAGACAACTTGCGAACCTCCTACCAGGCTCGTCGGCTTCATTGTTCACGAAGTTGAAGAATCGCGCTACTGTTGCTGCTGCTGCGAGAGGGAACGCGACGTGCCCACCCAAATACGCTATTAATCGTCGCACCACTCTAGGAAGCTATTGAGGCTCTGCTGCAACGGCAGGATGTTGCAGCTACAGAAGAACAAGGAGTCATTGCCGTTCTAGTCCACCAAATTCTATCCGCTCTCGAACGTCAAGCACAACATGCGGCGCCCCAGTGCATCCACATCCACCTGCAGCCCTGGCAAGCAGCGTTCATCAAGCATCCATAAAGCTCCATCGAACAAAGTAAGTAATTTGAAAACCGCACAGCTCCGTCGTAACAAGATTCAGTTACTGTCTGGCTCCCTTATAAGTTCCTTGGAATCAGCAAAACGATAGCGAGCACCGCTCACCGTGCACTGTCTCGTCAAAGGTAGATTCTACCCAGCAGCACTCGCATGCATACCCGGGTACGGACTATTGACGAGGTCAAAGCCAAGAACGCGGGTGTCACCGCAAACCAGCCGATCTTATTAAGCAGCGACATCAAAGACGAAGCCGCCGATGTCTTCAAAGTACTACCGCCCAGCCGTAAACCCCCACGAACGATACGCCTTCCGACCTCGGGCACCAGCGACCAAACCTACGGTCCTAAAAGTGTCGCCGTGGGATTACGCTGACGGGCACTCTGATGACAACCTTGATGCTTCGCCACTACCATCTCTCTGCAGGCAAGGAAAGCGCCGGGCTGCCGAGCTCGACAACAACGACTACATGGACAACGACAGTCAGACTCAAGGGCATCTTGAGAGCAACATCTATTCCAAACCACAACGACCAGCCCACACGAAAAAGAAACCTCGGCGTCGCAATTTCGATAGCAGCGACAATGTCAAGGTTGGCACACTTCAGCCCGCCATTGGTAAGGGTACGCAACGAGCTTCCAATGATAGAGGCTAACAAATGTTAGACGCCGAG